GTTGAGAGGGGCGTGCGGTCGGGGGTTTGCTTGAGGGGGACAGCCGGGAGCAGCTTGCGGTTCAGGGGTGGTGGGGGCCAGCATGGATGGGCGTGCGGTGGGCGAATGGGGGTTGGGGCCGGCCGGGTAGGGTGGCAGGGAGGGGCAGTTGGGAGGGGCGGTTGAGGGGCAGTTGAGGGCGCGGCCATGTGGTCGGGAGCTCAATCAACCGTACCTTTTGCAAAGTTGAGGTATGGTGCATTGGCTGAAGAGGCAAAAGCCAATGCGTGCAGGCAACTTCAGGCATGCAAGCAGCGGGGGCCGACTTCGCACCTGGCTGGCTCGGATGACTCAACCTCGACGGGCTCTGACTCACCATCAGGCGGAACCTCCGGGAAGTTGTCATCAGCCATGCCTCTGTAGGCGTTCCACTGATTGTCGGTGACGTCATCGGCCCTCTTGGACGAAACGCCAATCACATCAAACGTCACCGGCGGCGTCACCAGGGTTTGGGTGGTGGCGCGGGACATTACCAGTGGAGCGCCTGAACGTTCATCACAGTGGTAGGCAATGAGGGGGCAATGTGGAGTGATTACAGTGAGCGGTGTGCGGGAAGTTGAGCAGAGACCAATATCCCAGATGGGATCATGCAGGTGCCTGGTCGCGCCGCTGCCTGCTGGCTGGACCGGCGCCAGCTGGCTGGCAGCTGCAGCCTCGGCCTGCTGGCAGAAGGTGCTGACCTGATGAGTGCCTCGGCCCGACACCCTTGGCCCTACCGCCGCTTCAAACTCCCCAGCTTTTGCCCTCTCAGCCACGCGGCCCACACCCCACGCAACATCCCCAGCTGGTGGCTGGGGCGCATCGCCGCGGCAAGCCCCAGCCGTACCGCACACCGTCAAAGGTCTTGAGGGCTGTGTTCCACTTGAATGCGCACGCGAGGTCGGCCGGCCAGTCGATCTGAGGATCGAATCTGAAAATCGTCGTTGTCACCCACCGCTGCAGGCCGGGGACGGGGCAGCCCAGGGTGAAAGGGACCTGGCAGGGCGAGGGGCGGGCAGGTGATGTGGGGTCAAATGGCAGATGGCGGGGTCTTTGAGAGCACCGACAGCCATGCCAGCACTGTGGAGGATCTAATCAGGATACACTAGGTGAGGCCCGGGGCGGTTGTGTATAGGCTGTAATTTCTTCGTGGGTGGGTTGGCCGCGGTCGCGTCGCAGCGGCGCCGCTCCACCCACACCTCGCGCCAACCCCCGTCAACAGTTCCCGCCCTTCTCGTGCCGCACCATAGACGCTGGCAGCGCTGATTGCCCAAAGTCTGAGCCGAGCGCGATGACGGGCCTCGAAAAAACCACCTTGCGGCACAACCGTGCACAGGGGCAGGGGTTGGGAGCGAGGGTGGGCGGGTGGCCCGGGCGTGACCGGCAGCAGCAGCGGCTGGTCGCAATCAGGTGATCAGCCCAACGGTGCCAGGGATCAGGAGCTGCGGTGCTCACCGTTAGAGCCAATCTATTGGAAACTTTTATATCTTGGGTCACATTGGACAGCAGCTCCGCGGGGGTTGAGAGCACCGGCTCCAGCGGCAGCGAACCCTGCAGGAAGGCCCCCAAAGCGGGGCTCGCTGCAAGACAACCTATCAAAACAAACACGAAACCTACGAGACGGAGCGTCACTCCGTGCTGCCCCATGGCGGAGACGACCGTGCGCTGTCTCTGCAACGCGCGCAGGCCGCGCTCTCTCCAATCTAAACTGGATGTATGTATTGAAGCATGGCGTTTGCTGACGGTCTGGCCACGAAAGCCCCTGCTTGAGGCACGCCACCTGCCCGGCACGGGCGACGACACACTATTTTGGTGGATTCCAAGCAGCTGCTCGTGCTGCTAAAGCAGCTGGGGTGACCCTACATCAAAAGTCAAATGGAGCAGTCTTCTTGACCATAAAGGCGATACATCGCATCTGATACGGTAAGAAGCTCGCCACCGTGTCGCCTGAAGGCAGGGGCGCAACAACAGCAATGCTGGGTTGAGACCACGCCCATGCACTAAAATACTAACAACAGGAGAACAGCTGTGCTTGGCAACAAGACAGCCAACTTTGCCCTCTCACTTTGCCAATGCCACACATCACGTCGCATACCGTACCACATCCGAAACTGAATCATCCGGGCCTCTCGCAGCCCATATGCTCTCCCTTCTGGCCAGCCCGCCCGGGCTTGCAGCACTGAAAGGACACGTCATCGGGAGAAATCAAACTTGCCGAAGCGTGTGCCAAATAGCTGCATCTAGCACCCTCATGGGCGAACACTCGTGCATGCGGGCCAAATCAGCCTCCCGTGCCCTCGCATGCTCGTCATTTTTGCGAGCAGCAGGCACGCGTCCCTGCCTGTGATTTTGG